GTAGTCATCAAAAGACAAGGAATGCATATAAAACTATTACCACCATCTAAAACATTTTAATGAATTCCTTCATATCAAATAGTCAGTGTTCGCATTTCCCCAACTTTTTTTTTTTTAGCTTGCTCAAACTAAAATGCAAATTAAGCCCATACATTGCAGGAAGGTAAAATGCCTCTTGACTTACTCAGTTCAGAGGTTCCCCTCTGTCATTTTCTCCCTTTCACAGCTTTTTATTAAACTGAGTTGCTCACGATTTAGGACTTCCCAGCCTACATTTTCCTAGTTGTGTCCATATGGTACTGTTTAACACTGAGCTCTGAGCTGGCCTGTAATTCCAGTGCCTTGAAAGGCTGAGAATCGTTAAGTTAGAGCCAGCTTCAACAACTTAGACACTGTCTCAAAATAAAAATAAAAAGGGCTGGGTCGTGGCTCAGTGGTAAAGTACCCCTGGGTTCAATTCCTAGTACCAAAAGCAAAATAAATAAATAAATAAATAAAAATAAAAATTTGAGCTGTAGCTCTTGTAGAATGCTGTTAGGTATAGACCCTACCCTCCTTTTTCAGTTAATTCTCTTTGGACTGAGGTGTACACAGACATCAAGGGGATATACATAAGGCCTGGGTATCTCTCTTTTTAGCAGCTGTTACTGATCATTGCCAAGATCCTTTATTTCATTCAGGTTTGCAAAATGTCGATATTATAATCCAACCATTTCTTTTTCATTCATGGGCTGGAATATTTTCATAAAAGGAAACTCTTTCATCAGGTATTTTGTTACCTTGAGGTAGTTTGTTGATGAAAAGCAGGACACACGTGTGACTTTCCCTGTACTTACCTATTTTCAAAATATTCAGTAAGTTCTCTAGCACCCTCTAAAGATGACCAATAAATTTTTAAAGTATAAACTTTTAAAAAATATTTCATTGTATTACAGAAATTACTATTTTTGAAGTTCAAACTATCCCCTCTTTGGCCAATGGAAGCCACCTTAAGTTGGCTCCTGAGTCCTTCTAACATGATCGAATGATTTGGACTAAAGAATTGACTCTCCATACCAGGCACTGTTCTGATTGCTAGAGTGCTTCCATGAGGTCCTAGGTGACCCTAAAAGGGGAACTGATAGCCTAAGTAAACCTTTATCATTTTCATCAAGTTTCTTCTCTGCTCAAAATCTTCAATCTGCTTTTGAGACCGAATCCAAACTCCCCTACTTACTCCAGAGCCCTGCCTGTTGGAATGACTGACCTATATTTTCCATTCCCCTTGAAGAACCCACCATCCATACTTCTAAGCTCACCTCTTCCCTGGTCCCTCTGTCTTCCACCTGGAATCCACTTTTAGAGAGTTTCTCTTCCCCAGAATCACAAGGCTATAAAACCCCAGGGACACCAGTCACACTGTGCATTCAGCAGTGTGGAACTTTTCCCCTTCATTGGCACAAACTCGACCAGCCATCAAGGCTCACGCTGAGTGCCTTGTAAGAAGCCCCAACAACAACCACACTCTCATCTGACTTTCCCATCTCTGGACCTGTCACTCACTGTTATTCAGGTTCACTCATTTGGATATTTACTGCCTTGAACTACTATGGAACTGTTTGGGGAGTCCCGGTTCTGGCTTCCCTGGGGCAGAGACATAACAGAGCCTCAATGTAGTTCCCTGTTATGACTTGAATGTTCCCTCCCTCCCCAAAGCATATGCTGTGGAGACTCTATGCAACAGTGTTGGGAGTCAGGAAATGTTCCAACACCACGAATGGATTAATGCAATTATTAAAGGGCTTGAAGCGGCATGTTCAATTTCTTGCTCTCTTTGCCCTTCCACGATAAAACAGTGCAGCAACAAGCCCTCCCAGATGTTGTCTCCTGACCTTAAGATTTCCCAGCCTCCAGGACCACTGGCCAAATAAATTTATGTATTATAAATGATCTGATCTGTGGTATTTTGTTATATCAGCATTAAATGGACTAAGATATTTGTTGATAAATATTTGTTAAAATGAACTGATCTGATGGACTCAATCCAGGTGGCGCTTTTGATAACTTCCTGGTACAGCAAATATAAGAAAATTCCATCAAATTTTAGGTTAGCAGTTTCCTAATACCAATTCCACAGTTTCCTAATACCAATTCCTCAGGAAAGATTTTGTTGTTGTTGTTTTGTATTGGGGCACTTAACCACTGAGCCATATCCCTGGCCCTTTTTTATGTTTTATTTAGAGACAGGGTTTCACTGAGTTGCTTAGGACCTTGCTAAGTTGCTGAGGCTGGCTTTGAACCAGTAATCCTCCTGCCTCAGCCTCCTAAGCCACTGAGATTATAGGTGTGTGCCACAGTGCCCAGCAGGAAAGATGTTTTTTAAAAAGTGAAAATATGATTTTGGAGCACAGAGAGGCATTGCAGCTAGAGAAGAGGTCTAGCTTATCTCTGGGATGTCTAGTTTTTACCTCGAACCAGCAAAACAAAAACATACAAAAAAGGAAGCTCAGTATTTATTTATACATGTCCACCGGGATTCTCAATCCTGAATATATATTAGAGTCACCTGGGAAACTTTAAAAACAGATGCATGCACTCCACTCGAGATACTTATCAAAGGGTTGGGAGTGAAACCCAGGCCCCTCCAGGCTCCTCAGATGATTCTAACACATAGCCAGGATTAAGAATCTCTCTCACACAGAGCAATTTATCTCTAAGGGGCCTGAAGGATGAAATGCATGACATCAACTCTATTCCTTGACTTCTCCTTTCTTGCCCTGGGATGCTATCTCCTGCTGGCATCTATACCGTCGGGAAAGAGAGTTTTGAGACAAGTCGTTAAAGTGGAACCAACAACTTTAAGACCCTATTTTGGTTCAGCAGAATTTTCCACCTTGGCAATTACCTGCTCAACAATAGACGCAAGGCGCCCCAGTGCCAGGCCACACTCATCCCCTCGGGTCACCACGGCACTGCCGAGTTTCACCACGATTCTCTTGGCATGCTTCAGCTCACTGCGGTGGGCAAAAGACTTGCCATGGGTACGACTGAGGGGTACAGTGATAAAGGGGATGTTGCTCCAATAACGAACATGTCTGATGGCTGAAGGCTGGACACGATCTGCAGCCCCCAAACAAAGTCAAATGCAAGACAAAAAGAAAGACACAGAATAATTTTTCAAGAAAAAGATGCACGTAGTATTAACCAGTTGAGCCACTAAAAAGTAGCTTTATCGTTACTGAGTGAAACCAGTATGCCAAAAATATATCTAGCATGTTCTTAGTGTAGTGCTATATGGAGTTTACACTCAGTACACAGGTCATAGGCAAACACTGCTGATGACTAGTATAAATGAAACAATCTTCCCGAAAAAATATTGGTGGAATACAACAAAAGCCTTAAGAAGGTTCAATCTTCTGATCTAGCAATTCCATGTTCATAAATTTATTCTAAGGAATAAGTCAGAGATGTGAAAACAAAGAGCTGTGTCAGAAGCTCTTCATCAGAATGGATAGGAAAAACCAGAAGCAGAGTAAATGTCCAAAGAAAAGGGGAGAAAGATTAACATTTTTAGAATTTTTTAAAAGTGCTCATGATATATGGGTTTCATGTATATATGTCTAAATGTATAGAAAAGGACAAATAAGTCAAAATATTAATATTTTATTTCTGGTGGGATTATGGGAGATTTAAAATTTCTTCCTTCATCCTTTCTTATGTTTTTCAAGTTTATGCAATAAAAATGCATTGCTTTCATAATCAGAAAAATATGTGCTTCTGAAGAAACCACACCATTATAAAAAGGGGGAGAGTCTAAATATCAAAAGAAATTAAAGATTTGGTAATCAGCATGAATAATAAAAAAAATCATAACTAATCCACGTACAATTTTCTCTCTGACATGACAGCATGAATCCTGATGCCTGTAACAATGATAAAAGAAGCACTGCTTCTGAAGAAAGAGCAAAGTTGTATTCAGATAATTTCTTTCTGTCCCATTGGATATCTGCTCCTAAACAATCTTATCCTGGTTCTTTTTCTTGTAACACTGTAAAAGATTGCTAAAAGATATCTGCATAAAGCCAAAAGCAGAAAAGAGAAAAGTTGAATGTCAGGCAAGAACTCCTTCCCTATTTCTCATGGGCCCAACTCCTGTTTCTCAAATTAACACTTCCCCATGTATCAGCTGGGCACAGTGCCACCAGTTAAAGACTGTCTTTCTTCCTCAGTTATTATATAAGCATGTAACTAAATTCTGGCTACTGAGATACGTGGGACTTCTAGGAACTTCCCTTTTTTCATCCTGCTGCTTGGCACATGGGTATGAACGTTGGATCACAAACATCCATTTGGGACCACAAGAGAACTTTAGAACTGTGAAGCAATCAGGGGAAAGAAGCACATCCCCAATGACTCCACAGAGCTGCTTTGGCAACCTTGGATGGCCTTCCTCCTTAGGGCTGCCAGCCTCCCCTCAGGAAAAAGACAGAGACATGCACTTCTATCCTGCTGGAGCTGTTATGTGAGTTTCACGTGGCACACACCTAATTTAACTGGCCAGAAGGAGTGCTTAGGCAGGAAAGCAGGGCCTGGGCAGGAGAGGAGATGCTGACAGTAGATAGGGGTGGGGTCCTGCAGCAAACAGATCTTCCCTTATGGAATTCCCTGACAGCAAGGAGAGAACAAGATAGGCAACATGGGTTCTCTCTTGGCAGGGCTAAACTTTAGGCAATTCCTTACAAAGAGTTAAGTTTTCTACACATTATTATAGGCAACAAATAAATATTTGAATGAATTACTTAAAAAAAAATTGTCCCAAGCCATTGTTTGGACCATTGTTCCATTACAGAGTAATTATCCTCACTTGATTCAGCCATTATTTACAGACAAATTTCTCTGCCTCTGCCTCCACTAAGTGCTTCCCTAACCATATCCTCGCTTCCACCCTCGTTCTCTAGGATGTAACAACAGTAGTAAAGCAGGCAGAAGCACATTCTCAAGCCTAGAAGATTCTCATGTTTTCTTCTCCCTCAGGCTCCTTCCACACAAATCAAATAAAGAGCACTTTCAACAAAGTAGTAAAGAATCCTTTCTTCCTTCCCTTAAATAATGATTTTTTAAAACATTTTAGTTTTTTGATGGACCTTTATTTTATTCATTTATTTATAGTTGTGCTGAACCCAGTGCCTCACACATGTGAGGCAAGCGCTCTACCACTGAGCCACAACCTCAGCCTGCAAATGATGATTTTTTTAAAAGTCATTATTTCAGGTTTGTGGGGATTCCAGAAATACCATCTGACTTTTTCCACAATAGGCTTGCAGGTGAGTTTCTGGCACAAGCTGCTTGCTTAGTAGGGATCCTCTGGGATAGAACCAGGGCTCTGGCACCCTTGCTGGAGCCACAATGTACTATGGTTTCCTGCTGGGGCATCCCTGGAAACAAAGGACCAGTGTGTTTTTAGGGTACCTTTTTCTTAAAATTAGGTTATCAATATAGGTACCTGTCATAGTCTTAAAGAATATTATTCTAAGGGACAGGGAAAAGATCAAACTATCTATCTATCGAGGCATAAAAGTAGTATACACGATGGTTTGGCCTCAGCAACCTGATAGAGAGAAGGGTGGTGAACGAAGAGACTTCACTTCCTTGGATCTGAATCTGGGGTCAAGACCTAGGATCATCGATATGGTGTTTGCAGAGCTCAGAGCTCCATCAAGTATCATGTGCCCCTATGGCAGCTATCAGTTCTAAGCCTATTGGTTATTTGTCTCTCCTGACCACTGCAGGGCTGTTGTGTCCTGAAAGGGTATAAACATGGGTGGGGAGGCCTCCTAGAGCACCTTAGGTGCACAGGTGTGGCCAGCAGGTCAGCCGGGGTGATCAAATGGCAGAAACCAATCAGACTCTAGCAGACAGGCTAGCATGAAGGAGACTTCTGGCCCTCAGCCTCTATCAACAGAGGAGGTTGGCACAGCTTGGTGCCAGGCAATCAAGGGTCATTCTGGCTACAGCAACTGGGTTACAGTAGATTGAGGATGGCAAAGTTCAAGAAGGGGTCATAATTATCAGCAAGGTTTCAAACAGATAAAAACTCAAGTCCAGTCCAGGGAGTCTCAGCATCAAGGAGAGCTTCATGTGACCCAGGGCCTCTTGGGTTTCCTGTTGAACACTGTTTACCTTCCATGACTGACTACCTTTTGGGGGGCATTAAAAAAATGTTCTACAGCATATTATAGTTTTTAAGGCTCACACTGAGGCTTGAGAAGGACTTGGTTAGGAAAATTCATGGCTTCTGGATGAAATCATCCTTTCTCATCTTTTAAGGAACCTTTAGGCTCTAAGTCCCAAAGAAAATCTGTTTCCCTAGCTGATCTGAAGGGATAGTGAGTGTGGGTGAGGATGTGTGTGTGTATACTTTCATGTGGCATGGTGTGGTGGGAGGATAGGTATCCAAATTCTTCAGAAGTATCAAGGATTATACTCCAGGGGACGAGAAGCCCCTAATTCTTCATCATCAGAGCCCTCATGTTTAGCAACTGGTGAGGTTGTCTTCCAGGCCTTAGTTAGGAAACCTGCCATGATTGCTCTTTTCCTGGCTTGCCTTCTGGATTTTTCTGCATGTATCTTTTCACTTTGCCTTTCTTATTTCTCCAGTGCTTGTCTGCTTATCATGCTCAGTGAACACAGGACTTCAGGGTCCAGAAAAATCTGGATATAAAGGTCCAGAAATCTAGGGAGAAGATCAAAAAGTGCCTCCTTCACCAGCTCAGGTACCCATCAACAGATGTGTGGATAAAGAAAATGTGGTCTATATACACAACAGAGCTTTACTCAGCCATAAAGGAGGATGAAATATGTCATTTACTAGTAAATGGGTAGAACTGGAGAACACGATGATAAGTGAAATAAGCCATATTCACAAAGTCCAGGGTCAAATATTTTCTCTCAAATGGAAGCTAGAAAGTGGTTGGGTTGGAGAGGGAGAGAGATAAAGTGAGAGAGGGAGAGAAAGAGAAAGAAAAGGAATAAAAAAAGAATCTCATAAAAATAGAATGGAGACCAACAGAGTAGAGAAAGGGGATCAGGAGGGAAAGAGGAGGAGAGGGCATGGGGAAGTACTGGAAAATGAAATCTGCCAAATTATGCTATGTCCATGTATGAATATAGAACAATAAATATTGCTTATATATATATATGCATACATATGATTATAATGTACTAATTAATAATAATAGAAGAGAGACTATTAGAGTAGAACAAGTAGATCAGAGGGAGGGAGAAGAAATATACTAGGGAAAAAGACTGATCAAATTATGATATGTGCATGTATGAATATGGCATATTGAATCCCTCTGTTATGTATCATTATAAGGCACCAATAAAAAATTTTAAAAGTGCCTCCTTCTATAAATGAGGCTAATAAGATGAATAATATCAACAACAAAAATACTGAAATCAACTTTTACTGTAAATCATGAACTGTGCTAATCAGTCAAGATTAAGCTTATACACAGGTAGAGGCTGTAAAAAGTACACACGTAGGCTCTGCAGCCAGAATGTCTGAGTTGGAATCACAGCCCCTCTGCTTACTTGTTGCTACTTTACCTTTCTTATTAGGTTGTTATGGGGGATGAAATGAGTTCATGCATAAAAAGAGATCTAATACTTTCATAGTAATATTAATATAGCTATATGATAATATTAATCTGTAGCTAATATTAATACAGCTGCATTATAAGAAAGTATTAGATATTATCATTACATCTCACTGAATTCTTATACATTATTAGTTGTTCTTATTCCCATTTTATAAAAAAGGAAATGGAGGCCTAGAGAAATTGAGTAACTTATCAATATTGGCCTAGAGAAATTGAGTAACTTATCAATATTACCAGATTATAAAAGTGGCCACAATGCTTTGTAGATTCTCACACCAACAGGTGGAATCTACTTTCCCACTCCTTGAGTCTAGGCTGGCCCTGTGACTTGTTCTGTCTGCTCAGTATAAATTCTGAGCTTCAGCCTCAAGAGGCCTTGTAGCGTCCATACATGATGTTCTTGGGAACCCACACACATCAAGTGAAGATGATGAACAGCTTGCTGGAGGTGGGAAATGACATGGAACAGAGGTGACCTGTCATCCCCGTGGGAGCCTCCCAGCAATCAGTCCTGAGCCATTCCAAGAGCCGGCACAGTCACTGATAACTGAGCCCAGTCAAAAATGCTAACCCACAGAATTGTGACCTAAATAGCCAGTTGTTGTTTTAAGTCACTAAGTTACTTAATTTGTATGCACTGCAGACTGTTTTCACATGTGGGAAGCCTGCTCTAATGTTTTAAACTTTTAACCTTTATATTCCTCTTCATATTAATGGGAGACTGAGATTTTCTAGATGATACTGAGCAAGTCATCTTGCAGTGAGGCTTGGAGATGGACTACTCATCAGGTTGGGTGATAGCAAAGAGGTAGCCATCTCAAAACATCAAACACAGACCTCAAATAAGTGATGGTAGAACCAGATATCCGCAGCTAAAAAATGAACCTTGATCTTAAACTTCATACCTGATACAAAAATTAACTCAAGTGGATCACAAACTTAAATATAGAATGTGAAGCTATAAAATTTTCAGAAAAAGCAGATGAGAAAATTTTCAGAACCTAGGCCTATATATGAGTGTTCTTAGACTTACTTGACCCCAATAGTATAATCGATAAATTGAAAAACTGAACCTCATCGAAATAAACTTTCTTCTGTGAAAGACCCTGTTAAGAAAATGAAATGATAAGCTACTAAACTGGGACAAAATATTTATAAACCACATATGTGACAAAAGACTAGTACCTAGGGTTGTGATTCAGTGGTAGCGTGCTTGCCTAGCATGCATGAGGCACTGGGTTTGATCCTTAGCACCACATAAAAAAATAAAGTCAATAAAGTTCATCAACAACTAAAAAAAATTTTTTTAAAAAAGACTAGTACCTAGAAGATACAAAAAATTCTCAAAATTCAATTGGAGAAAACCAAAAAAATCCATTTACAAATGAGCAAGACATGAAAAAACATTTCACTGAAGAAGACACAGAGAAGGTAAATGATCATTTGAAAAGATATCCACCACTAGTCATTAGGGAAAACAAGTTAAAACTAACATCATCCATCCATCAAAATGGCTAAAATAAAAGTGACAATATCAAATGCTGATGAAATGTAGATTTGGGTTTACATTTTATCAGCATTTGATATTGTCACTGTTATTTTAGCCATTTTGATGGATGGATGATAGCTTTGATGTTAGTGGATCCCTCATATATTACTACTGGGAATGTAACAATGTGACCATTGTTCAATTACTCTACAAAAACAGTTTGGCAGTTTTTGGTAAAACTAAACATCCAACTATTATCACGCCCAAAAAGTGCAGACTTTTCGGCATTTATCCCAGAGAAATGAAAACTATGTTCACACAAAATCCTGTACACAAATTTTCAAAGCAGCCTTATTCAAAATGGTACCCCCTCCCCCATAAATAAAAATCTAGATGTCCTTTAATGGGTGAATGGTTATAGTGTGATACATTGATAATATTAAAAACTAATTAGAACAAATTAAAGAAAAAGATGTTCATTGTTAAAAATATTAAAAGTAAAAGAAGTCAAAAAAAGCATGCACAATCACATTTAAAACAGTGTGTGTCTATAAATAGATAAATAGTCTGGAACTTAATATTCCTAAATATTAATAATGGATATTTCCATAATGTGAATTTCTAGTTGGCAAAAAATTTATAATTTTAAATGCTTTGCACTTTCTAATTTTTTTGTAATTAACATAACACTTAATCATCAGAATTTAAGATGTTGTCATTTTTAAAAAACTATACCATGGAATAATCTACAGCCAGTAGAGATTAACTTATACAAGATATTTTACTGATATGGGAAAATACCTTTTATCTAACTATAAAAAGCAGACTGCCAAATATTATTTTTGGATCAATTGCATACAAAAAAAATGTTAAATATGTGAGTGGGTGGGGAGAGAGAAAGTAAAAATGTATTATAAAAACTTTCGCAGAACTGACTGTATAGCTCAGTGGTAGACCAGTTGCCTAGCACTTGTGAGGTCTTGGGTTGATTTCCAGCATGGCACAGAAGAAAAAACAGAGACTTTACCAAAATGTTAACCATGGTTCTCTTAGGGCAGTGGCATTATGAATTCTTTTTCCTTGAGCTTTTTTATGTTTTCCATATTAAAAAGTAATACTTCAAAAAGAAAAAGTGGCTGTGTCTCCCTCTACAGATAGTCCCTGTCCTCCCTTGAGTGCATATTCCTTGCTTTACCTCCAAAGTGCCTCTCTTTTGAGATTGCCTCAGTTCTTCCTTGAATGTGTCTCTCTACTTTCCTAAATAAACCTGTCTTTGAAAAAAAAGAATAAATAAAAAATGAAAAAAAAAAACAGTACTGCTATTTTTAAAATTATAAATTAAATGAAAAAATATGCTTTAACAATAAAATAAATGTAGTAAAAACTTTGTTAAATAAAAATTACAGGGGCTGGGGCTGTGGCTCAGTGGTAGAGTGCTTGCCTAGCATATGTGAGGTACTGGGTTCAATCTTCAGCACCACATAAAAATAAATAAATAAACAAAATAAAGGTATTGTGTCCATCTACAATTAAAAAAAAAATTACAGAAGACATTATTTTGAACTAAGCTCCTGCACCGGACTACAACAAACCAGACTAAAAATCAAAATGGAGTCACCGATACTAAAGCTCCGCATCCTGACTCTCCAAGAAATCAGGAAAAGACAGCCAAATTTCCCAAACAGACTAATGTCATTGTTACTGAAAGCTTGGTTCTTGTCCTTCATGCTAATCCAATAATGAGAACACAGTTTTAAGAAAAAGGAAAAAAAGTTTTATTGCTTTGCTAGCAAAGGAGAAACACAGGGGACTCCGGTCCCAGAGTCTGTGATTCTGCCTGTTAGCAGGAACAGGGAGCAGAACTTTTTAAAGAAGTGATTCAAAGGCTACTCTTTCATTTGTTCTCTGTTGAAGCTGTAATTCATTTGTTAATTTGGGATATAGTCATTTCTGAGATCTTCTGGTACCATGCCCAAAGTCTGGATTACTTCATTCCTATAGTGGGTATGGTACTCAAGGACATATCAATCTACAGGGGATGGGGAAGAAAGGTAATCCCATTTCTCCTGAGATTAGAGAGGAGCAGGGAGAGAGGAAGAGAAAGAAACATATCCATTTAAAAAATAAGATGCAATGGCAGAGCAGCAAGAGCTACATTCATCGAATAAAGTGACCATAAAGCAAAGTTTCCTCTGATTAAATCAGTAACAAAGTCAATTGAAATTAAAACAACAACAACAAAAACAATACAAACTTGTATGAAAAGCACTTTGACCACCATATCCCCACATACTCATCAGTGATACATACGAGATCTGGAGACAGCTGTGGACTTGACCCAGGGCAGGAGATGGTTGAAGGACTGGGACCCAGAGCGGTAAACTTGACTCAACATGCTGAGAAATGGTCTGAGAGATGAAGTATCTGTAGAATGCAATTTTTAAAAAGTAAATCATGAAAAATACTAGACAATTCATTTTATTTTCCTCCATTTTCCCATATTCTTCGAGTAAAAATTTGACCCTTATGTTCTAAATTCCTCTGCATTAGAGTAACTCCTATCTTTTCTGTATTAGAGAAAAGAAAGAAGAGACAAATGGCTCCCTCTCAAGCCCTTGCCCTTCTTTTTCCAATGCCATCTTAGTTTTCATAGAAGCAAACAGCAATTTATGGCTATGAATATTTTGAGTGATGAAAAAGCTTTAAGGTACAATGTTTACATATTGATACTAGATCTTCATTACAATCTTTACACTGTTGGGGGTGGGTCTCCAATAGATGAACAAATCCAGCATCCTAGAACAGATCTCTCCTGCTATCACCTCCCAACCAAAGATGGAAATTCACATATTTGAAATGTCAGCTTAATTCTTGTCCTCAACAAAAGATATGAAAGGCCAGAGGCTGCAGCCACATTTTTCTTCCTGTTTCCCACAGGAATCTAAAGCAACACCGCACCCCAACACCGCATCCCTGGAAGGGAATGGGGGAGCAATGCTTACAACTGGCTAACATTTAAAATGACTGAGCATATCTCATAAGGATGAATGAGTACATGACTAGAAATTTTAGCATGGAGGACAGGGTGGTTATGGGCATTTTCCCACTCTGGTCAAACTTGGAGGCTTCAAACAGTTTAATTCTAAAAACAAAACAAAAGCAACAACAACAACAAAAACAAACAGGGAACTCCTTCCTACATTCACAAGGTAAAGAAGCCATTCATTATCTCAGCAGCACTTGTTATGTTATGGGGACACTGCTGTTTTCATAAGATAAGAAAAACCCTTTCTTTGCTGGTAGGCTCCCCTTTAACTTGTTCTCTAGATTGGGAGGTGTATTCCAAATAAATGTGCCTCAGAAAAACAGGAGTTAGTCTCATAGTGAAGAAAAATAAGGAACAGCACACATTGCTCTACAATTTATACTGTATAAAGGCACAGAAGTGGGTGAGAGATGTGCAGGACACATCTGCTATAAAACACATGGCATCTAATAGGCAACTGAAAATGCTAAGTGATCTCTATTGACTTCTGTTTCTGCAAAATCCTTAAGTATGATATGAACCCATGATCTATTTGCCTCTATATAAATTCCTTCAATAATGTTTGCTAAATAAATATTTATGTGTGAATTCTCCAAAATACTTATGAAGAGCCAAAGGGTTAAAAAAAAATCAATGGTGACACTAAATTCCAGGTCTACCTCTTCATGAAAACTTCCCCAGCAACTCTAGCCTTCCATGTTGGATTTAATCCTCCAGATTGACTTTTCCCAATTCATCACTGACAGCCAAGTAAACAGGACAGGGAACATGCACTTTGAAGGTGAACAGATTTGGGCTCAAGCTCTGTGCTTGCAAGCTGGTGCCTTCTGGAGGGTACTTAATCTTAAGCCTCAATTTCTTCGTTGCTAAATGAGGGACAGTAATAGTTACAATGAGATAACGCATGGAAAGTACTTGATCATAACAGATGACCAATATTTATCAGTCTTCCTCCTCCTGTCTTTTAGGCACTAACATGTCTCTCAAACTTTTCTTCTTTTATTTTCTTCAGGACCCATCACAGGCACAAAGAAGTCAATAGTCACTGATGGATATGAGACACACATATTTGCAGACTGTTTACCCTTCTTTTAGCAAAGGTACCTGCAATATCTGAAAGGTCCATTAATTTACCTGTTGAAGACTGACCTAGAAACCAGGCCACCTGGTCTGTTCCCCTGTACCACTTGTCTCCTACTGAGTTCCCTGATTGCAATGGACTGTTCATCCTGCTAGAATTTATCACTCCTCAAAAAGCAGAAAGCTGATCCTTGGGAGCAAAGGAAGGGTGTGTGTGTGTGTGTGTGTGTGTGTGTGTGTGTGTCTGTCTGTCTGACTGTGCACACTGTGTCTAGACTCAATGTCGTCGGGTGCAAAAGTTTCCACGTTTTGCCTCTGGACATTTCTCAAGAACCTCTCTACATATTCTAAACAGAAAGCCCTTATCTTACTGATGTAGACAGAAAACTGAACTTCAGTCCCAACAAACTTCACCCAAGAAACACATGCTCAGTACATGGCTCACCACTACACAAAGACAAAGGCCCAAAGATAAATCTCACCACCTCAGAGGGCAGAAGATAATGACAGGGAAGAGTAAGGTATGTGGGGTGGGGGTGGGGAATTCAGGTGTGACCTAATGTGCTAGAAAGAAAAATCAAACACCGTATGCCATATTGCAAAAGGCTCTTTTGAGGTAATCCCTGGCTCCAGAGACGTTCCTGAATGCCCAGATGGGCCCACTGCGAACTGCAGACACAGGCCCCTGCCTGTTACAAACCTATTATACCACAATCGTCAGCCAGGTGCAGTGGAAACTGCTTCCGAACTCTGGGGCTGAGAAGGGGCTTGCACATTCTTCTAGCCCTTTACTCGTGCGATTGTCCGGAGGTTGGGGGGCCCAGAGCCATCAGTAAACCTCAGGTCGCCGCCCCCCAGCATATGGAAGCGTGCGCGAGCCCTGCAGCGCGCTCAGGGCGGCCCAGCTACCCGGCTCTCTCTCAGTCTGCGCCCGCCTGCACCGGCCCCCCGACCCCCGCCAGGCCTGGCCCCGTCCCAGCCAGGCCCGCGGCCACATCCCCGCTAGGTGGCCCGCATACTCCTCCCGCCTTGGCCCGGCGCGCACCCGCCTCCGCAAAGACTGCAGTCCCAGCAGGACAAGGCTTACCTGCTTGGCCAAAGCCGCCAGGCCTGCACTCCCCTGGGTCTGATGCTGCCCCACGCTCCTACTCCCTTTTCTTCCGTCTGCGCCTCGCTCGATAACGTTACGTCAGCAGGTCAGCAGCGTTGGAGTAAACCCGGGCCGTGGGGCCTCCGCTGTTGACGTAAGGTGACAGGCCACCCTGGAGCTGCGCTGCGGTAACCGCGCAGGCGCCTTCCGAGAATCCGGCAGGCGCTCCACGTGGCGGATCCCTCCCCCGACCCAGCTTCAGGCCCCGGCAGACGCGGGGTGGGCGGGGCTCCGGGCGCCGGAAAACCTCCACGTCCTCCGAGAGGGATGGGTCCCCAACCTGTCAAGAGCAGCCCTAGCCAGCCCTTCCAGAGGTAGCAAAGGTGCTTAGCATCCTCAGCTGCTGGTAAATTGCGTAAGGTGTGTCTGTCAGTGTTGATCATTTATATCCCACCCTTACATCGGAAATAGTTCGAATTAATTTACAGAGGCGGTCATACAAAGTTTGGCTGTTTAAATGGGTAAATTTTGGCACTACAATCAAACGATTTGTCACCTGAGTATCTGGAAGTTTTCCTATTAATGTCAACCTAACTTTTTCAGCAAAGGTAGAGGTAAGAATATTGCCTTTTAAAATAGAGTAATCTCTGATGATTGGAATCAAAGATGAATACAAACCTTAGAGTAAAGGGTTTCTCTCCTTTTTTCCTACCTTCTGTGTGTTTTCTTCGGAGAACATCCCTGCATAGTTGAGGGGGCCGAGTTTTTCATTGGAGGTTGATGCCTTGTGTTTTTATAGTCCTGACAATAAGACTGAGTCTATTTACATCTTTTTCTCATTTATTAAACATTGGCTACTTCTGTCACCTCAATTCAATTCCTCAAATTTCATATGTTGGAAATTTATTCCTCCATGTGGCAGTATTGGGAGGTGAAACCTGATGGGAGGTTTTAGGTTAGAAGGGGATCTGAACTCATAAATTGGTTAAAGGCATTATAGGTAAGTTTTGCAGGAGTGAGTTTGCCCTCTTCTGATCTTCAACCATGTTGTGACACCCTGGTTTATCTTTCTGCATTCGGTCATGTGAGGACAAATGAGAAGTTCTTCACCAGATGTCAGAGCTTTGACTTTGGACTTTCTTGCCTCTAGAGCTGTGAGAATAAATTTCCATTTTACAAAATAAAATTCCCAGTCTTTGACATTCTTTTACAGCTGCACAAAATGGACTGACAACTACTTTATTTGCCAGGCATTCCCCTGGGTGTTGAGGAAAACATTGTCCCCTACCTTAGATGGGTTCACTTGTCTTATGGGAGAGACAAATGTATGAGCAAATCATTACAGCACAATGTGATGAACACTAGAGAAGTGGGTGCCCACAGATTCAGGTATAGCTTTTAGAAGATTTGTCATTTGAACTGTGCTTTGAAGGACAAGAAGTTAAATAGTTTACCCAGAGAGAAAAGGGGAACATGAACAGAAGGAAGAGGGAATGGAATATGCAGGAGCACTCTTTGAAAAGAGGCTGCCTGTGGGATGGGACAGAAGAGGCCTGGCAGGGAGCCCACCTTGCAAATGGTTTTTCTGAGCCAAGTTAAAGATTCTGAAATTTTTTGATCCTCAAAGACAGAGTACCAAAACTTTCAAAGTACTGGAATGATATGATCAGATTTTCGTGTCAGAAATCAGTAAAAGGGTGGGAGCTAGGAGGTTGGTTAACCTATTGCTAAGGCCCAGGGAAGAAATGATGGCTGGACAAAAGGCCCCAGTCAGTAGGTGTGGGAGCAAAAAAGAGGAAGAACTGACAACACTTACTACTTGAAGGGGGAGAGTGAGCAGAGGAGTACTTGTGAAGCTGATGATGCTGTGATGCAGTGAGTCAGAAAATAGATGAAGGAAGTAGTTTTTTGGGGTAAGGGGTTGGCATAGTCAGCCCCCCCCCCCAAGAATAAGAGCCCTTAGGAGTTAGAGATGAACACCTTTCAGGAAAAATATGACAGTCTAGCTAGCTCTCAGTCTTCCTGGATTAACAGCCATACCAGAAAATTAGGAGTTAAAAGATGAGCCAGTCTTCAAGACTATAGGGGTGAGATTACATGCCAGGAGGTTGGAAGCTGGAAAACCAGCTCCACTTCTGAGACTATGGTCTGCAGAAATGCCAGCTAATGTCAGACAAAGTGTGCTATTCTGAAAATATTAATGTCAGAGAGTTTACCAGATGATAAGGGACAACTTCAAGTGTTAAGGGGCAAATGCATGCTTAGAGTAGTCACCAAGTAATCACAGTTACCTTTACATTATTAACACACTAAAACACACATCACTAGGTAGAGAATTGAGATGGTAATGAGGGCTGGGCATGGTGGCACATGTCTGTAATCCCAGCAGCTCTGAAGGCTGAAGTGGGAGGATCCCAAGTTCAAAGCCAGCCTCAGTAACAGCAAGGCACTGGGCAACTCAGTGAGACCCTGGCTCTAAATAAAATATAAAATAGGGCTGGGGATGTGGCTCAGTATTTCAGTGCCCCTCAGTTCAATCCCTGGTATCAAAAAAAACCCAACCAAACAAACAAAAAACCCCATCATAATGTGACATGTATTACACAAGGAAGCATGATGGAGAACAGTGCAGGTATGACTGAAATCCCACCTGCGATAACAACAAGAGGCCAGGTTCTGCCATCCCAGAGATGCCACAAAAGCTATTCCCTTTTGTTCTTTGCTTGGGTCAGTATGGGATTCCTGTCCCCTGGGTGCTGCCTACCTTCTGGTGGGAGCAGAAGTCTCAGAGAAAGCCTTGTCTGTGCTTCAAATTCTTTCTGGACTCAGTGCTCATTTCTACAACTCTGGATCCAAGAACCTGAGTTTGATAACAGGAAGAGAGCATGGAACATGTTAAATTTTGAGCATTTTGGGTTTGATGTAGGGTAAAAAAAAGTAAAAGAAGTAAAACTGGGGGCTGGGGATGTGGCTCAAGCGGTAGCGTGCTCTTCTGGCATGCGTGCGGCCGGGGTTCGATCCTCAGCACCACATACCAACAAAGATGTTGTGTCCGCTGAGAACTAAAAAAAAATAAATAAATATTAAAAATTCTCTCTCTCCTCTCTCACTCTCTCTTTAAAAAAAAAAAAAGAAGTAAAACTGTCCTCACGTAAGTTACATCTGGTACCTTGGCTTTTCTTTTAAGATTCTCATCATGTAATTTAGGCAAATTAGGTAACTGTGGGTATAGCTAGAGCTAAGGGAATAGGATTTTCTCCATGTTAGAAGGCTTGTTCTGGTTCTTTTCTTAACCCACACAACATCTTATGGTAATTACTTGTCTGCTTTCCCTGCTAGAATTGTAAGTCCCTAGGAGCAAGGAAGTATATTCCTGGGACATAAGAGATATTCAATATTTGATGAGTGAATAAATTTAATTTGTTTTGGTTTAATTTTCTCAAATAAGAAAGTGGTCTTGGACATAAGGCTCTGGGTTTGATCTCCAGGCCTGAAAAAAGAAAGAAGGGCTAATAACACCGTCTTTGTCTGTCTCATACAGTTGTTAAAGAGTGTCAAATATAAAAATCCTTAATGCTCCACAGACATTTTCTATTTTAATTATTACTGATATTTCCATTACTATTTTACTACTTGTATTAAAGAAATGGGATATGTGGCTGTGGATTGGGAAAAATCAAATACCAGACACATGAGTTTGTCTCATCACAGAAGTCAAGAGAGTAATTCAACTATGGTATCTTTCCTGCATATGATAAAAAGACAGATTCTTTCTGACTGGAGGGATTTAACTTTTGTCTCAGCCAATAGAAATAGGGTAGACATGGCCAGAAAGTCACATAGGAAGTGGGACATTAAGGATAGGGCTATAAGAATGCAGGATTGAGGGATGATTCTTTACATGCTGTCTTTAAGTTCTGTTAGACTTCAGTTCTCTTTTTTATGTAAATTTTTAAATTTATATATGACAGCAGAGCGCAAATTCTTATTACATATATATAGCACAATTTTTCATATCTCTGGTTGTATACATAGTATATTCACACCAATGGGCTTCAGTTCTCTTAGCCTCACATTAATTGTAATGAACAGAAACCCATTCCAACAAGGCAGTTTATTAGAAGAAGTAACTGATAGTCTCCAAGGGAAGATGGTAAACTTGGGTCTCAAAGGGGCAAGGACAAGGATTTGGAAAATTAGGAAAAAAAAATATATATATATCCTCCATTTCTCAGTCTCTTGATTACATTTCTCTTTGTAATCTGCTTTTTCTTCCTTTTTTCCCACATTTTTTATTGGTGCATTATAGTTGTACATATTGATGGCATTTGTTATTACATAATCGTACATGCACACAATATAATCACATAACTTGGCCAATATCATTCCCAAGTCCTTTTCTTTTAATAAACTCTCCATTAATGAACACTTGGTAGAAAATGGCTTCTCCAGTCCTAGACATCTCTTCCAGTTAGTGTCCAATCCTGGCAAACTTCTAGTCTTGGTCTCAGTTGAAAATTCCTGGAAGAGAAAATCTTCCTGGCTTAGTGTGGTTCAGGATTCCATTCTTGGGCAAATCTTCTATGGTAAGAATAGGAAGGTTGTACATGGGACATGAACACAAAGGTTGGGTTTTATGATTTAGATATTAAATGTCCTCCAAAAACTCACGTGTGAGACAATGTAAACATTTTCAGAGATGAAACGATTAGATTATGGGATGTGTAACCTTATCAGTGGATTAATCTACTGATATGAATTAACTGGGTCATAACTGTAGGCAGGTAGGGTGTGGCTGGAGGAAGTAGATAACTTGGGGTGTGTCTTTGGGGTATATATTTTGCCCTTGGTGAGCAGAGCTGTCTCTCTGTTTTCTGGCTGCCATGTTCCGAGCTGCTTTATTCCACCACACTCTTCTGCCTTGATGTTCTGCTTCATCTTGGGCCCAGAGATATGAAGTCAGCCAACCATGCAGTGAGACCTCTGAAACCGTGAGCCCAAATAAATTTTTCCTCCTTTAAGTTGTTATAATCAGGTCTTGGGATCACAACGACAAAAGAGTTGACTGAAACACTGAGCCCATTAGCAGGCAGAGGTCTAAGTAATAGAAATGCTCTATTCATGAGTTGGTTGTGATGGGACATTTAAATGAAACAAGTTTTAGCCACACTGTGCAACATCATCTTATAGTTTTCACA